AAGCTACATCCCTCTACTATTTTTGCATGATGTTAATAGGATTACAGCGAATGCGAATGGCGCTATTGGCTGATTTGATAAAGGAGAGAAGTCGTCGTCGGGATCTCAAGCATGCGCAAAGACGCAAAGTCCAGTTCCTTATCCAATTCACCGTTACATGCCAGTTATTCGAATCCATGTAACCACGCTGATTCAGGCCTGGCGGTGTGCCTACCTCCAGAGCCAGCAGGCTTTTCACTGGGTGGGACCTTGGAGGAAGTAGACTCAAAGCATAGTTGCTTGGAATTGTGTCAAAAGTATGGACAAACTTTTGACAAGCAATTTATGTACTTTGTGTTTTCAGTCCCCACAAGGTCCATCTGCCACATCCAATGTGTTATTGTAATTCAGTCGAAGCTTCACATGTCTACAAAACTTGTTATAAATGTATTTAGTCCTCTTCCAGGGGCACAGGTGTCGGACATAAGAAAGGCCGGGTGTGAAGGTGTATGTCCCATTTGTTCAAAACCACACTTTAATCACTTCACCAATGATTAATTAAAACACTAAACCGCCTTAAAATTTAAGTATCATCATATTTGAACACTTAAGACTTAGCATATATTCAACGCATCATCTATTGCTCTGAAATTGTCTTTTTTATCACAAGCCTCAGTGGAGATGGCTCCATATTATACTGTTCAAACACTATCTTATAGACAGCCTACATGATAGAAATGCTCTTATCTGGAATGAACTACTTCTGCTCCAAGCTCTGGTAAAATGATGGATGGTGGATTTAAGACTCTTGCGCCCGATATGAAAGAATCGGTGGGAGAAAGCTTAAACATCACACTTGCTAATCGGAGGCAACTTAATCCAAAAGAGTGACTGATCTTGGTGCTGTAATCATTCGGTCTGTTATCAAGTGCAAATTCAGATATCTATATACAGCACCTTGCATAAGTATTATCCACCCTTGGACTTTTTTCCCCACTTTGTACTGTTACAAACTGGAATTCAAATAGACATTTTCCGATTTCATCCAAACAACATGCATAGTAAGGAAAAAATACCTTTTATTGTGACACAAACAATAACGGAAAAAAAAAGTTAGTATTGACCCCTCCAAGTGCATACTTGGTAGAAACCCCTTTCGGTGCAATTACAAAAGTCTTTTGGGTTATGTCTCCACCAGCTTTGTGCATCTAGGATGGAAATATTCGTCCATTCTTCTTGAAGCTCAGCCGATTGGATAGAGACCGTCTGTGAACAACAATATTCAAATCTTGCCATAGATTCTGAATTGGATTGAGTGGTTTGACCGGTCCATCTTATAACATAATATATAAGAACATGCTTTGATCTAAACCATTCCATCGTGGCTGTATGTTTAGGCTAATTGTCCTGCTGGAAGATGAACCTCCGCCCCAGTCTCAAGGCTTTTGCAGATTGCATGATATTTTGTTCAAGAATTGCCCTGTATTTGACTCCATCCATCTTTCCCTCAGTTCTGACTAGTTTCCCTGTAGCTGCTGAAGAGAAGCATCCCCACAGAATGATCCAACCACCACCATGTTTCACAGTTGGGATGGTGTGCTCAGGGTGATGGGCAGTATTGGGTTTCCAGCGTTTTGCGTTGAGGCCCAAAAGTTCCGTTTTGGTCTCTTCCACGTTTGCTGTATCTCCCACATGGTTTATGGCAAACTCCAAATGCAAGTTCTTCTCTTTTCTTTTACTGCTTCATACATACTTAGCTACAACTTCCCCGAGCTATTTGGTGAACTCTCTAGTCTTCATGGTGCTCTTTGTTGAGTAATGTGGCGGTCGCAGATTAAATTGAAGACAGGTGGCCCTATTTACTAATTATATGACTTGTAAATATGACTTGTGAAGGCAGTTGGTCCCACCAGATCTTTGCAGTGAAGGGGTTGAATACTTATGCACTCAACACTTAAAATTTATCCATGTATCGGTTTCATCCAGCAACAAAAATTCTAAAACTTCTAAAAACAGTTCACTGGTTGAAAAAGTGAAGATGGTAACAGCCATAATCCAAGATGGCAACTGGGACATTGCTGGACTGGAGGTTTCATAGCGGCAGTCCACAAACCAATGTGTGATGTCACAACAGCGATGTATACAGCCTATGGGTGCCAACACGTGTGTAAAGGTTGGGGTGTATGATAGGTGGTTGTAGCGTGTCCAACCTCATCTTTCCTAAATGATTGGGTTGTGAGGTGCAGGCCCACAGATTTATTCCATGACAACCGAGCAGCATGTATAATGAGGATTTTATATATTTGCAGTCAAATGTACAGGCCGCAGCCAAATCAAAATTTGCAATGAACCATAAACTGTCAGTCTGCATTTCTCCCTTCAGCCCCACTCAAGCATTATTAGAGAGTAGATGACTACACAATGTGGAGAACCAACAACGCGCACACAGGGGCTTTTTTACTCTGTACTCTGCACTGTTGTGTCTACATTCTGGCATATTATGGGTGAGAGGGTCACTGATAGCTGGAATACAGCGTACTGCCCAAACCTCAGAAGTGTAATAGTTTCTAATGCTTGTTCATTCTGTCCGGATAAGATGTGGGCGAACCTGCCCGTATCTGGTAACTGCTTCTTCACTTAAAACCCAGCTTTTCCAGCAGGGAGCTATTGTTTACCGGGAACATGTTCTTTTAGGTGTGTATAATCTGATGAATTTATGAAGTCTAAAGTGCACCACAGTGCTGCTATTTGGAATGGTCGGACCCAACTGTGTGTTGTTTATAAGTGAAGTCTGATAATTCATTTACATGGAGAAAAAAAAAAGAAAATTAAAGCTACAGTCAAAATATAGCAAAACAGAATGAACATCTAATACATCTAAGTATGACTTAACCATGTGAAAATACAGTAGTGGCACTTCCACAGCAATAGAGCTCAACACAATCCTTTTATATACACAAAAAGTAGATGTAAAAAACTCACTGTGACTCCTTGTTAAAAGGTTGTTTTTTTTGTTACGGGACAGTTTTTCCTGTGTGAAGGTTTTCGGGTTAAAAAATGAGAGGTAAATGTAATTTGTCATTATTAGCATAACTTTTAAATGGATGGGAACAGCTGGGTTCTTTACAGATAATAGCTGTAGTGTTCTAAACCGGAAGTACAAAACACAAATTCTCTTATAATATAAAAACAATGTCCTCTATTCGGCTTTTAAGACTGGTAAGCAATTTGTCCTCGTGGCGTAATTACCCATGTGAGCTTCGTCCGTGCTGGCCCAATCCGGTGTCCTTTTTTATTCTTCTTTTTAAATAGAGATGCATCTCTTTTACTGGTTTTTTTACGGTGTTGCAAAACTTCTGAGACTACTTTTAGATTCAGTCATTTTAGACATTGTTTTTATATTGAGGTTGACTGTTTTTAATCGTAGTTTGTGATCAAAGTTTGCAATTAATTGTATTTTAAATTCATTTGAGTTGTCTCAACGCAGGAAGGACAGTCATAATAATAATAATAATACAACAGTGTGTTGTTGTTGTTTGTGTAAGTTACAGAAGTAACATTGCTGAAGTTTCCCTCATGGCTGCTTGAGGCCTGAGTTGAATGATCTCGAGCCAGTGAACTGAGTCGGGCATGTCATCTATTGGCACTGCCGCATCGCTTCCCAAGATGAACTAAATAAGTGCATTCGAACGCAACAGAGCTTTTTTGCGTGGGCATTTGTTGTTCCACACATCACTGTGAGGCTGTTGTGCTCATTAAACATTTGGCTGACTACTTTCACAACAGGCCTGCTTATGGGCAAGTGGAAGTTTGCTGGTCACCAACTCACCTAATTGTATCGTCTATTTTTTGGTTTGGTTACCAGCACCTAGTCGTTTGTTACTAGGGACTAAGGATTGTCAAGCCAGCCATAATAAAACTATATGCATCCAACTCACAGTATTGTTTTTCTTTTATCAGAATCAAATTGCTAGATATTCTGTTAGCCATTTCCACATCAGTAACTTGCTGCTTTTTTCATTCCTCACTACTTTCTTTCTATTTCTTTTCGAGCTATTCCAACATAATCATCCCCTTCATTGTGCAAACACCAGGAATGTGACAAATCCAACCTGTACACAATGACTTATTTCACAGGATAAGTGGAAACTTTGACCCTGCTGGTGGAACACACAGTAACACAGGGATTCATGTCCATCAATTCGTGATTATAGGGGGTATCCCAGAGCTTTCTGACTGGCAGATCTCTCAATCCTTTCCAGTCTCTGTCATTTGGCAGTTGGGGAATAATCGTCACAGGTTTTGCTGCTTTCGGACTGCTGCATTTGAGCACTGCTGCTGAACATGGCCTCATTCTTCACTCTTTTACTTTCACAACAATGACTACAGTCATTTTGATACATGCCTTGAATTGAAGCAGGAAACTTGGATCATGTTTGTACATACACACATGTGTGTGTATGTATATATGTATCCATCCATCCATCCATTGTCAAACTGCTTATCCTGCACACAGGGTTGCGGGGGGGCTGGAGTCTATCCCAGCCAACTTCGGGCGAGAGACGGGGTTCACCCTGGACTGGTCGCCAGCCAATCGCAGACAATGGAAAAGGCCAATGAATGTAATCTCATCATGTTGTAGTATTCTTTACAAATCTGACTTTGTTGTTCTGTTGCTAATGTAATTAGGCTGTGATATAGCATTGTGTCATGGCCATAGAAACTGTCTCCCAAAGGCATATACAAAAAAATACATTATACATTTTTGTTTGATATTAAATTGTGTTTACTAGGCAAGTACGTTCGTCCAAAGCAATTGAAGCTCCGTTGAACAGGAGCTGGATGTCACAAAACTTTCAGAAAACTTCAAATGACTTACCAACAAACATGGGGGAAACATTACTATAGAGAATGTGACAGCAACTGTACCAGAAGTCAATGCAATCTAGTTAAACCTGCTTCCTGGCTGGAAAGGGAGTGGAGCATTCCATCATCATTATTTACTTTCTGTTTTTTTGCAGGTTGAAGAAATCACCACCACGGCCAAATTTGGAGACTTGATAGAATTTGCTTACCCCATCGGATATTCACACTGGGGAGTTTATGATCAAGACAGATATGTATTTCATTTTGCTTTTGCGGGTGAGGAAAACATTGTGGATTACAGATTTGTATTTCTGCGTTTGCTTTTTGTGAAAATGTGATGCGATACCTTTTATATCACTATATCTACTGACAAGTATTGAGTATGAATTGAAGCCTGATGCACCCTCTTCCTGTGAGCCATTGATCTCCACTAACTTAAACACTAACTGCATTCAACTCATGCAGTTAGCTACTGTTTAACATCATCTTGGGTTAGGCGTGTCCTGTTTCTCACTTGTTAGTCTTCAGCTTGGGATAGGAGAGAAACTATAACACCAACATGTGTCAGTTCAAGGAGAGCTCAGACCCCAACGATCAGCTTAACAAATCTGTTATTATTATTTGTTTGGGCCTCAATCATTACCCCTTCAAAGAATATATCAAAATGTTTTAATTATGCCCTTTTTTGTTGAAACTCAAATTGGATTGTAAATTGCCTCAGTTCCTAACTTTAGAACAGGGCTACACAGAGACAAACGACCATTCACACTCACATTCACACTGTGTATATGTATGTATGTGTATATATATGTATGTGTATACATCATATAGTCATGACATTTCTATAGGACAATGTATACTCTCTGCATAATGTATGCTTTTTAGTTAACGTTGATGGAGTTTGGTTCATTCCTAATTATTAGTCCAACCTTGTACTGTACCAAAGAAACAAATTCTTCTTTCTGTGTGCATCCTCGCCTTAGGAAGTAAGGGGTTAAATGCCATGTTATTTGAGCTTTCATCTGTGGAACAGTCAGCCACTCTGAAACACTGTTGTGCATTCTATTCTTCAGTGCATCACTGTCACCTTATTGTCACGTTTCTTCTGTTTTTCTGTGACACCAACTTACAGCTGGCACATACTCTCATCTCCTCTTCGTGTCTCTCCTTCTGGTTTCCCTCAGATGAGTCAGAACAGCATAGATACCACTCCTTGGTTGTTTGACCCTCTCACTAGTGACATATTGGACCAATTACTATACTATGACATTTCTTGTGCTTGTTAAAGGCAAAGTATACCAGTGGTATTTCTATTTCATTCTACACTGGACTTTTATTTGTTGACACAACTGTAACACTTTTAAAGCCTTCTTTATGGCATACTATACAATGCTACATTTTATGACTTAATATATTACATAACAGTACGCTATAGTACAAAAAAGAACATAGTATAGCCAAATATGCCCTTTTGGGCCTACTGTAATGGTAAATGGTAAACGGACAGTAGTTATGAATCTTTTTTTTAGTCTTTCAAACAACTCACAGGAGCTACTATGCAAGGTGACACCTGCCCATCAGGACTAACTCATCATTCGTACTCATTCACCCACCACTGGGCGCAGCCAAAGGGAATCACTATGAACAAAATGACCTGCATATTTACTTTAGAATCACAACTTTAAATGCTAATCAACAGCGTGCTGAATCCTGTCAGTGGAAAGAGTGTATTTTTGAGAGAAACCATCTGCAAGGAGGTTGGTCACATTGAGCCAAAGTACTGCAATACATGTTAACATATTTTCAAGCAAGAGCAAAACAGTTAATAACAAATTAACCTTTATATGTTTACTGCTCTTCATAAACCCTCCTAACATTTGTGTTTGAAGCAGCATTTCTATTTCTAATCGTAAAAACACTTCCTCACTGTTTCGACCAATCAGTTTTCTTTTTTCCCCTCAAGTCATTCCAAACAGTCAAACCAGTTTCTCACACAACACACCCTGCAAAGTGCTGCCACAGTGCTCGCTCTAACTGAAGGAGTCGGCTATGGATTATCAGGAGCAGGTAAGAATTAATAACAACAAAGTAGTACAGTAAGTGCAACAGAGACAATGGAAAATGCCAATGAATGTAATCTCATCATGTTGTAGTATTCTTTACAAATCTGACTTTGTTGTTCTGTTGCTAATATAATTAGGCTGTGATATAGCATTGTGTCATGGCTAAAGGAACTGTCTCCCAAAAGGATATACAAAAAAATACATTATACATTTTTGTTTGATATTAAATTGTGTTTATTAGGCAAGTACGTTCGTCCAAAGCAATTGAAGCTCCGTTGGACAGGAGCTGGATGTCACAAAACTTTCAGAAAACTTCAAATGACTTACCAACAAACATGGGGGAAACATTACTATAGAGAATGTGACAGCAACTGTACCAGAAGTCAAACCTGTTAAACCTGCTTCCTGGCTGGAAAGGGAGTGGAGCATTCTTTCATCATTATTTACTTTCTGTTTTTTTGCAGGTTGAAGAAATCACCACCACGGCCAAATTTGGAGACTTGATAGAATTTGCTTACCCCATCGGATATTCACACTGGGGAGTTTATGATCAAGACGGATATGTATTTCATTTTGCTGTTGCGGGTGAGGAAAACATTGTGGATTACAGATTTGTGTTTCTGTGTTTGCTTTTTGTGAAAATGTGATTCGATACCTTTTATATCATTATATCTACTGACAAGTATTGAGTATGAATTGAAGCCTGATGCACCCTCTTCCTGTGAGCCATTGATCTCCACTAACTTAAACACTAACTGCATTCAACTCATGCAGTTAGCTACTGTTTAACATCATCTTGGGTTAGGCGTGTCCTGTTTCTCACTTGTTAGTCTTCAGCTTGGGATAGGAGAGAAACTATAACACCAACATGTGTCAGTTCAAGGAGAGCTCAGACCCCAACGATCAGCTTAACAAATCTGTTATTATTATTTGTTTGGGCCTCAATCATTACCCCTTCAAAGAATATATCAAAATGTTTTAATTATGCCCTTTTTTGTTGAAACTCAAATTGGATTGTAAATTGCCTCAGTTCCTAACTTTAGAACACTATTTCAAGAACATGATTGGTTCGGTGTGTGCCGCTCTTTATCAGGGTTGTAAAAGTTAAAGGATGAGTGGAGTTTGAACACTGTCAACTGAATGCGCATCCTATAAACAAACTGTCTCTTCCTTTAGATGAGAAGCAACTTATGAACAACATTCGTACTTACCTACAAAAAATGTTCCCGGTGTGCGGCGACCTTCTCCTTGGGCAGACCAGGATCCGCAGGGTGCCTCTCGGTGAGGTGAACGTCCCGAAGGGCGTCCACGTCTGTATCGGCAACACGAGACACGACTTCACCCCCTCAACCCCGGAGCAGATGAAACAGCGGTGTGACGCCCTTCTCGATCAGGACTTACCATATAAACTTTTCACCCTCAACTGCGAGCACTTTGCTACTTTTGTACGTTATGGAACAGCAGTGTGCAACCAGGTATGAACTTAGCTGATAAAATGATCCTATTAAAGTGTGACTGCCTTCGTGGAGTCATTGATTCTGCCCTAAAGAAATTATGTTGTGATGAGTGAGCAATGTGAGTGATGGATGTACAATATCTAGGTAAAAATATTTAGACAATAAATACAATGTGATAGACAAAAAAGCATGGAAATATTTGAAAATAAATGTACACAGCAGACTTTATATTGCTCCCACATTAAAATGTTTAAGGGAGCAGCTCATGTGTGGAACATATTTTTGTCAAAGCCAAGTGACACAGTAGGGAAAGAAAGTTACACAACTCTAAACCACATTTTAACCTCATATACCTACATGGGTTGCATCATTCTGAAATGTTATATTTCAAGTTGGTGTGGTATGTTAGAGGGAGATTTATGTACTTAAAGACTCCGTAATGCTGAAATGTGAATACATAATGTTATTTGGCCGTTTTATGGATTTTATGGCATCACTTGTTGAGTTGCTGATGAAACCATCTGAAACTGTTGTGTTTTTCCTCTTATAGCTTCCTGGTAGAACGAAGAATAAAGAGTGTGAGTTGGCAACTGAAACCTTCAAGAACATTGTCAGCCCTAAAGAAACTGATGCAGGTCCCTTGAGGGAAACCTCTGACTTCTTTAATTCACATGTATGGTAGGAAAATGTATTCAAAAGGGGAATGAGGTAAACATTGGTGTAATTCGTACATAGTCTGGTGGAATATATGAATCCTCTTTGTATTAATTCAGCAAATCATTTATACTAATCATTTACAGATTCTGCAACTCATGGGCCATGGGTGTGTTCTCATGCAACCTCAGCCTAACATGCCAAGTGTTCAATTGTAACCTAGGCTCAAGTATTTATGTATGTGGACGAGGGGAAGTACAGTGACTGCAGAGGAGCTTCCAACATTGTAGTTTAACATTTTACTTGAGCCTAACTCCAGAGGAGGGCAGTGCTGCGTCGAAAGCCCTAAAAACGGCAAACAGTTAATCAACAGTTGCTATCAGGACTGGTAATCAATTACTAATTGTCTTCATGTTGACAAAGGTATCATTTCATTGTATAGTTGGATTTCTAAGCATTGACTAAGCATTAAGCAACTGTAGTAACATGTCTTGTTAACATGTAATGGGGTTTTAAATTATATAAACATTATAGCAGCATTTATAGCAGTAAGAGAGTTGCAGATTGTAAGAAAAAATATACTGCTCTTTCCCAGGTGTTTTGGTCTCTGGTGGCCTTGGTAGGGTAATAGGTAAGAATAGGATTGTATTACTACAAGGCGCTCACATGATCAATACTCAGTACATTCCCATGACTAAATAATGCTTTTAAGAACGTATATCATTTTAAACAAATAAATTCAGAATAGAATTAATTCAAAGGAATGATAAATGTTAAATGGACAAAATTTGTATTTCTCTTTTTAAGTCTTCCCACCCACATCTTTTAATACTACATGTCTACATTCACCCATTTTCTTATCTTCAAAGGCAAATAGATGAGAACAAGCAGAGCCATTTTCTTTTAGATCAAACTATACTGAGACATATTGTATTATGGTGCATTATACCATATTTTTTCTAATATCACCCTAAACTACAACATTGTTTATGATTTTTTATGGCTTGATATACGATAACAATTTCAAAAATACACTATGATAATAAATGAATAAATAAACTATAATACTTTCATGTTTTTTAGACATTCTATCCAATGATCTATTTGATTAAATACATAAAGAGTTATGAAATGTTTAGCATACTATGCCATTTTAATTACAGTAAACTAAAGTTAAGTTAAGGGGTTTCATGATTTTGTTTTCAAGGCATATTATGCAATAAAATATTTTGTTACATTTTTATGACATTAAATACTACCGTGTGACATTTTTCTGATCTCTTACTCACTTTAACAATTTGTGTGTTGTACTATGATATTTTTATGGCACATTATAGTATGATAAGATGTATAATATTCTTAACTGTTCGGTTCTTTAGTTTAATTTTAGTCACTGTTCTCTGTTCTAAAGCAAACAAACAAGATAAAGGTTTGGATGCTTGATGATTGATTCTTGTCCATTATGGGTGGTTCGGGACAGCTTTCTCTATGGTTTTGCAAGACATGCAAGTTATGCAAGGTCAAAGTTGAATCCAAGCACAGCAGTTGAGGAGGGAAGTCGGTGCAGTGTGCAAAGTCGCAGCTCTGCTTCAGCATCTTCAGAGCAGGACAACTCAGCGGATGCCCAGTTCATCTGGTTGAGGCAACCTACCTCGGTGTAAGAGAAGCCAACAGTTGGGAACAGAGGAAAGCAGTGCAACTGTAAAACACTGGAAATATGCAGTAAGACTATAAAACACATCACCTCTGGCTAAATTCTCTTTAGTGAATAACCACTGCACTACTGTCTTGGTTTAATATCAATAACATTGCACCACTGTCTTAATTAAATGTTACACCTATTCCACCCCACTGTACATACTGTACGTCTATTTCACCATCACTTTAATTCAATATGTTCTGCTCTGCTCTTTTATTATATTTTATTGTTCTCTGCACATATTGTGCATTTTTCATTTTTAAATTTAAGTACTGTATTGCTTCTGCTACAGACAAATATCTGTATCAAGTGCTTCTAATTGTCCATCAACCAACAAAGCTTCGACGACCGCAATACAAGGACAACGCAATGGAGGCACGTGTTTAATGGGATCATTCACCTTTATAATGCATGTAACACACTGATTGCACTTATATCTCTCTGTAAAAGGAGGGCGAAGGGAAAGTGTCCTTGTAGTTGGGCTCTGAAGATTAAGACAGCACGGCTCCCTGTTCTCTGTTCCCTCGCCAGCATGATTTAAGTGAGATGTTTGTTGTGGATTCAGTCTCTAAAAAGGCTGTATCCTCAAACGAATCAAACCATTGCAACATCATTGTTAGATATCCAGGCATGTGAACAGAGATTTTGGGGGCCAGGTGCTCAAAACAAAACAAAACAGCACCATCGGCAAAATGATTTATGAAATTAAAAATAATAATAAATCAATAATTAAATAAACACAGTAGAATATTTTCAGCTTATATATTTATTTTTGTTAACAAACTGACTCAAATTATCAAATTGAATAAAATGAATATCAGGCAAAAACAGACAAAACAAAGCCAGATCATATAACCAAATAATATAAGTTAGATATTCTAACTTAATAATAAGTTAGAATATCTTTTGATTATTTATCAAGACTTTGCTCTGAATAAATTAAAAGAGCTTAGCCTCCTCCTTGGTGCCATCTGTTGGAAGATGTTTACTGTTTTCTTAATAATGTACCACAATATACCTCACCAGACTGTGATATAAGTGGAGCTATGTGGAGGAGGAGGGAGGGGGAGCACCGAGGAGCATATTGGGTCAAAATTCTCACAATAACTCAAATAAATGCCCCGTTACATATTAAAAAACACATTTGTGGGGAATTAATGACAGAGAGAGTAATTTTTATTCTTATTGATTCAAATTGTGCTCCAGCAGAAGGGGCACTTTTCTCATCCAGGGCAAAAGGCAGGTTTTTGCCCTGCTTGAGCACCACTAGGGGTCTATCTTGGCACGTGCCTGGAGATATCACACCACAAAGACACAAAAGGTTCATTTGAAGATTCCCTGTATGGATGAATGGCCAGCTCTCGGAGGAGATAGTTGCATCTAACTGTGTGAACCCGGAGAAGTAGCTGGCTCATGTGATGGCCTCTCCCGGAACCCAGTCTGCTGCTGTGTTGACTTTCATGTTGGAAACTGTAACCTCTCCAGACCTTGAGTGTGCTGCAGGCTGCATCTAACGTTCTCTTGTTTCAACCAACCCCAAGGCCACATGCAATGTTTCCATGTGTTATTATCACTGCGTATCTGTAACAGTGAGGATGTCAGCATCATCGTTTCATATCATTACTATTATTTTTTCGCAGAAAGTGAAAAAGAATTCTGTACCATTGTCAACAAATTTGGTGTTCTACAATCAAAACATATGCTGTATATATATATTTAAAAAATTGTGATGATTGATACTGTGCCAGTAACCTAACAGATAATGTTGTATTTGCATCTTGACAGTGCTGTGCTTTCTTGCTTTGTGTTTCGATGTTTTATTGACTATAGCAGTTTATGAAAGTGATTATACTTTCTTTTGCTGACCATTACTATGTTTTCTTTTCATGCTGTTCCAGGCAGGCATTTGTCTGCCCATTTAGCTAATGCTAATCTCATCCCCCTTTTTCTTTAGGGGGATAACTTTCCAACTTGTACAGTAGAATTCAATCCACATTGTTTATGGACCTGCAGTTGCTATCTTTCTTAAAAAGAAATATTAACAAAACATACTGGGCAAACAGCCAATCCGAATTGCAGCTGCCCACAAAGCACCGGGTTCAACTTGGCATCGAAATTACTTAACACTTTCAATCAGGAAAGGCTTTGGTGCATGTGGATTGTTTTCCAACGCTCGGGCTATGCCCACATGGCAGCCTCAGGGGCAAAGTGCAATTAAAACACCATCTTAAATCTGCTCAGTCGTTGACCTTAAATTGTAGAAAACCCACCCATCAGCAATTTGTTTATGTAAAGCATTGACCTAGATATTTATATTAATTAAAAAAAATTCTCAGAGCTGCTAAAAGCAGACTTTTTATTGTTGCTAGCAGACGGGGCTCTGTGTTATCTGACCCGTCGCCATTTACTCCTACCTGACATCTCTCGCTCTCTCTCTCTCTCAACGGTCTTCTAAGGACGCCGGCATTGTTTGACCTACCAGCCAAATTGATTGCAAACAAATTTTGAGGAGGACAATACTTCCCCTCTTAAAATGTCCTCCTGCTATCTGTTTCTAAGAGGAAATGACTCACACACCTTTCTCCCTACAACTTGATTCACTTGCTAAAACAATTATGTTACATTAATAATTCATGGTTTGGTCATTGTAATTAGCGAATCAGTTTAGCTTGGTGGGGGATTAAGTTCCTGCACATCCTGCGCACACATTGTGTATATCAGCATATCTTTTTTTAATTTTTATACTGAACTCTCTGGTTGAATGCACCTACCAACCGGTCCTCGTGCCTGTCAGCAATCGGCTGCCGCTCTCGCTGCTTCTCTGCCTTTTCTCTCCTCCCTCCACCATGCCACCATTCACTGACCCCCCCCTTCCCTGGTCACTCTCTTTTCTCCTGCCCCTGTCCACTTGATATGCATTGGGCGGTTAGTGGGGCTCTAACAGACCCCTCTGTGACAGTGCTCTGCAGATTCCCTCCCCTTTACCACAGCCACCTGATTTCCAGTGATTGTGAGTAATGCCTTGTTCGTACAGGATATAAGAGGGATCTGGCACCACTGGACTGTGTCTGTGGGTTGAACAGCAAAATCCCAGGCACTAAAATCATGTCACAATACCATGCTCACATTATTTTGCCTCATCAATAAATATTTTTTTTAAAAGATCACCTTACTTTTTCACACTTAACATTTCTCTATCAATTTCTCAATGTTTAGCTGAACAATAAACAAAACATCTTATTTATTAGAACCCAACCTTAATATTTAGGGGTACTCTTCATATTGGTAGGTGAGATGCAGAAGTGGTGTGCCTGTAAAGACTGTTGTACAAGCAACACATGCACCAAACAGGCTTACAGTCCTTTAAAAGTAAATAGAATTAACATAAACATAACAAATAATATTCCAAAAATGTAATTGGCTACCGAAGCTCAAAGCGTAACTGATGTTTTCCAATATAGACTATTTTCTCATGTTTGTTTGTTTTTTGTTAAGACTAATGGGAACAAAAGTTGTTAATTGGTTCGGCATTTGGTGGGGGACCATCTCCAAATGGGCTGCAATGCATGGCTTGGGCCAACTCCTCACTGGCAACATACTTCCACTAAAAGCGTTCGTTATTGCCATGACAGGATCACATTGGTAAGAGAAAAAAACCTTAAGAGAAATAGAAGATGATTCCTTTCACTCCATCCGGTCTGGCAAGAGTAATCCCAAAGGCTTTGACTAGTGTTGATTGATCTATCGTTTGGCTTTTTGAGGTGTGGAATGAGGAGATAAGCATTTGTGCCGGAAGGTCGACAAATACGACGAATATAAGCCCTATACCCAGCATACGAATCAAAGACATGGGAGTCACCCAGATCGAATCAGCTCAAAGTCACATTGAAAAAAGTCATCTGTGGTTCTTGGTAATTTACATGCGTTCTTGTTGGAATAGATGTTTAATTGGTCCTTTTTTTTCTTCCTATATGGGCCGAATACCATTTTTCGAGATATAATTGATGCTACTTAGTTCAGTTTAAGTTTTAGTTGACATGGCTAATTTAGCAGTGACATATAGTGTCAAGGGGTGCGTGGGAGGCAGGACTCAAATGCAGAGCTTTAACGAAAAAAGACTTTAATAGTCATCAACTCCAACACAAAAAGGCCAAGGGGCAAAAACGCATACAGGTACCGGGGAAAAGGGCAGGCAGGAACGAGACACATCCAGGGGGCTGAAGACAAGGAACATCCGGAACAATAGACAATGACGCGACAAGTGACAAGAGACACACACAGCTTAAATACACTAGGGAGGTGCAGGTGATTGGACACAGGTGTAAACAATCAGACGATCACAGGGGATGACAGGACAGGAAGTGAAATTACCTGGGGACACGAGTGGCAGAAAACTACAAAATAAGACAGGACGTAAACCACACCGTGACATATAGAACTTGCAGTTATTCTCTTAATTATTATCTTCAAGGACTTCTGATGGAGAGAGAGGCATCTCAATGTTCTCTACAGTGTATTAAGATTAAATGTTGAGGCCATGCATAAAAAAAGAATCTCTTGCAAAAAAAAGTGTCTGCAGAAGCAGAAAACTCTGATCAGCTTAGACGTTCATCTAAAGCTTTGGAGCCCCCCCTCCCCACTGAACACAAATGCAGCCGGTGACTGCTGTGCTGTGATGAACCCACAGGGACTGTGGAGCCATTGCACAAGTCCAGTGTGTTTTTTTTAATGGTGTGCAATGTCA